CTCTCTCCACAGTAGTAACATCGGGATGCTTTCTTTGGTTGAGAACGGAAACGCGAGTGGAGTTCATTCTTGCCCTGTTTGTTAGCTGGCTTGAAATTTACGATTTCATGGATTTCGTTGATATTATTTAACAGTCGTTTGGTTCCATGATTACTTAAGTGAAGTTTACTACGGTTTAAGGTAGACATTTCACATTTGTTGTTCGATAATTTAAACGATAGGTCGTTATCAGCAATCGCGCATTTGGTTTCGTCGGTGCTGGCCACTTCCTTCAGATGAAAATTAAGTTGATCGACTCGATGTTGAAATACCTCGTTATCAGCTCGTGGACATACAGTAGATATGACTAATTTGGTATGCGGGGCTTTTGTCTTAACTTCCTTGATTAGGCTGGTGAAGTTTGCGGTTGCTTGCTGTAGATGAGCATCATCAAGTGAACAGTCATTTGTTCCTCCATGTATGACTATGGCCTCAAAATTCTCTGGGCCAGCTTCCATAATGGATTTGCTTATGTCGTTGATTTTTGCTCCTGGAATGCACTTTACCTTGGTGTTTAAAAGCCCTTTCTCATTAATGTGCTTTATGATTGAATCACCGATGAGGAGGGTTCTCTTGATTCCTCCGTCCATGTTTACATTAGTGCTCGAGGTAGCAGCATCTTTCATTGGATCTCCTGTAGGCTTGTGATGATTAGGTCTAATACTTTGTTTTGTTTGCTTCTCTCTCACACAGCACCACTCGTTCATATTATTCAGTGGAGATTTTGTCTGACAATTTAGCTAATTTGGTATGACATTAATTAGCAAAACAGAAATTTGACTTGCCAAAACAATGAATATAAGCAGCAAAAGTTTCAATTCCATCAGCTTTATGGTTTATAAAAAATATATTTAGCAAAATTCAGCTTTTATTAGAATTTGGCTTTTTGGCTAATAACAGCTACTGTACACTGCCCACACTTGATTGAAAAATTTAACAAAATTATAATGTACAACATACTATAATAGTAAAAACAAAAATAATTAAATTTATGCTACCCACCATATGAACCACATAAAATATGAAAAAATACAATTCATAACAAATAAAGGACTCCAAACACCATTCATTATTACAATCATTAGTGTTTATTACACTTTTCTTCACAATTTTATATCTATTGTTCTGATACTTGGTAGCTTATTGCTTTTGGAATGAATATGAGAAGATTTCATGAGACACTTGGCACAACAATAAATATAGATCTACTGTATGTGCTTTTACACAGCAAAGAGCAATATATATTTAATGTGAAAAATTAATCTTGTGATTTACCTATATATAAAATGTATATTATTACTTTACACCATGCAAATATCATTGGTATCATAAGCATTTTTTTCGGATGTCGTCAGCGCTTTGAAATCGCAAGGTATAAAAAAATAATTATTCGATAGGAGCTCCTTCGAATACTTAAATATGGTTGAATCCTTGAAGCTGGCGGAAGAGGACGTCACTAGCTCCTGGGTCTGAGGTGTTTGTTTTGAATTCTGCAGTAGGTCTGAAAGCTTCTATAATGCTCTTGAATTGGCTGTTTCAAAAAAATACATTGAGATTAATTTAAAGTTATTGTAAGAATACTGTATCATATACACTTTTTATGTATTCACTGAAATGTCATACATTTTGATTCCATAGTGAGCATCAGTGATCAATAATATTAATAATTTAATTCCGTCTATTCCACTAAAAAACAAATGCTGAAACCTATGAGGCAAATCTGTATACAAATTCCGGTAAGGCGAGACTTTTTATTTTTTGTTTCGCGCAATGATTTTTTTATACAGTAGATCATCAGAGAGGGCAGAATAAAAATAAAATTTTGTTTTCTTATTTAGCAAATACTTTTGCTAAAAACTTAGCTGGAGTAGAAAATAAAAATAAAATGTTATTGAATGCAAAATGGGATGGATAAATCCTTCAAATTTATATAATTAGGAAGAAATACACATATCTTATCTTTGGAGATTTCAAGGCAGTGGAGGACATAATAAAAATAAAGAAAACTTCTTTTTTTTTTCTGAAATATAAGGGTTAATCGAGGAGCCAAGCGATTGGACACTTGCCGGTCTTGAACCAGGGACTTCAGCACAAGAAGCAGGAACAAATACCTCTCAGCCAACTACCCAGATGGTGCATTTATATTTGTACACCCTTACATTTAGATTGGATAATAATTGATACCCCTAAAAGTAAAACATTGCCTACCTATTACAGGTACTGAACTTATAGTAATTCAGCTTTGCCCACTGCATTTCACAACCTGGTTTTGCTGCAATTGACTTTAATCCATTTTGCTGCACTGTAGACACATCATGGGTAAATTTCTGTCCAGTATAATAAAAAAGCTGATCATGGGTTTTGTGTACAGAATATTGTGTTTCAATCAGGTCATTCTATTCATAGAAGCAACATTTAAAGGAGAAATTGTGCCTTTAATTAGTTACTATATTGTGTAGCAACGCCAAAAGCTATAAAATTGGTTGAAAATTGAACCAATATAGTGTAATAGGGGTTACTTTAATGTAAGCATTTAATATTAATTATATTATATTTATTATCATAATCAAATTTAAATATACTGTTATTAATTACAGTAATATTTTTTTTTTATATAATAATGACATAATTAATGTTGAATTATTGAATCCCGACACGGTGGCGCGCATTTCGATATTAGGAGTATGTATTATACTATCTTTACTGTACAGGATGCAGAAAACTTTTTAAAAATCAGATCGATCGAACATTTGCTGTACTCGACTAATTGCGATTACAAAATGATTAACAGACATGTAAATATTTTACGGTCACATAAATTAAACCAGAATGTTGTATTTTTTTTAATTGATGATTTATTTGGGAAGAATATTGTATAAAAACTGGTTTAATTTTATTGTTTTTAAAAGAAAATGTATTTCCAGTCACACCACCCACATTTTTTACTCAGGCAGGAGTGATAAATCTAACAATTTCTTTCTAGGTGCCCTAATAATTTTCAACTAGCAAGACATTTTGTTAAAGTGCGGAATTTATAGGGGGCGAGATGACTGGTTCCCATTGTAGTGACGGCCGCCGTCTGTTCGAGAGACCGATCAACGGCAACCCCGGCATCTGTGTATTTGCATATCCTGCCCTCAGGTGTGCAGAGGAGGGATCGCCGAGATCTTGGGGAATTGTCGTCACTCGTACACTAGACCTTATGCTGAGAGCATCGTTTACCTTACTACAGGATTCGTTTAGGTGTATCTGGTGTCCGGGTCTGTTATACAAGGTATATACCGAACTATATACGGTGTGTACTATATTGTGATTGATATATATTATTGGAGTATTGTCGCCCTAGGAATACATCCTATTGGATAAAGGTAAGCACCACTCGGTACCTTTTATATCACAGCATATATATAGGGGATAATTACTACATTGGCGCTGCGAGCAAAAGGCTTGTAGACATTATTGTTTTTTAGTGCCTGTGTAGGATAGGTACTACATTGGCAAGGTATAGTACAAAAGTACTATAATAGTTGAGAGCTAGTAATAGGCATAAGTATTGTGTTTTCGCACGTACTTTGTATTGCGTTACTAGCGGCTCTGTTTTTAGATTAGTTAGTTTTTTTTCTGTGGGAAGAAGTGTTCGGGGTCGACAATTGGATTGCGGACCGGCGAGTATCCTCACAGCTAATAGAGACTAGGTTTTTAGCGTAGTTTTTAAATAGGGACATTGTAGAGGGAAGCGTACAGGGCCACTAACTATATTGTAGTGCGGTCTGTCAAGTACCTCTACAATTAGTTTTTATAGACTAGGAGTATTTTAGTTAGGAGTATCTTGCGGTTCGTTTGTTTCAACCTTTCACGTCGGCGTGCCTTCGTACGTCGGCTGGTGTGTGAGGTTGTGACGCGTTGCGGCCGTATTGCGTAATACTATAGCGTGGGCGGGAAGAAGTGTGCGAGACACGCGTCTCGTGCATAGATAGAATTCTCCCACGACTATTAGATTACGTATTATAGATTAGGATTAAAACATTTAGCTAGGAGATAGTTAGGTATTTTAAACTCTGTTTTGTTGGAGAATTGTGTTAACACGTCGTCTAGATATTACCCTAGGCCGTGTGTGCTGTTTTATTGTGCAGAGCTTAGTGCATATCTCCACTAACTCATTTGCATACAGGTTAATCGTTCTGGTTTTATCCACAGGTTTTCAATAACTATTCGTTTTATTGTAGCTTGTGTGATACGTGTTATTTTAGATATTTTATATTTGTATTCACATTTATACTTGCATATCTATTTTTACATTTTAACCAGATTGCTTTGGATTGCAGGTTTTAACTTGATATTTGTGAAGCATTGATTTTGTTTATCTATTGTATAATTTTATCATTGCTAACCCACTTATTTTCAATTTTAGCCTATTTAACCTTTGACATATACGTGTACGTGTAATCTTTCCCATTTACAATGTCGAAGGTTAATTTTCCTGTAAAAATAAATTTTTGTGACGAGAGGGATCTGTATGAACTCCCACATATTAAGAAAAAACGTGCCCAACAGATAATCCGTTGGAGGACACGTCATGGTAACTTAACGCCAGATAGTTTGGATGCTATTAAGGGGGATAGTAGATCTAATTTGGAGAAGTATGTAGACTTCACGCCTAATCCTCTTTTGGGGGAAGTAGGGGTTGGTTCGATGATCCAATCGGTCTCATCCCTGGTTGATAATAAGAACCTGGCTGCTGCTCCCAATAGTCGTCAATTACCATCAACTCCTCTTACTAACCCACCCCGTCACCACCAGGATATACCGTCTCATTCCGGGAATAGGTTGTCTCCAACTCCTGCCCTGAGTAGATCGGATCCCGTCCTGGTTGCGTGTCATGGTTCACCAACTCGAACGAGTAAATCATCATCTAAGGGTAAATCCAGGCGAATCCGCCGCCCTGTTGAGTACTCTGAGAGTGAGAGTGAGGAAAAGAGTGTCTGTGAGAGTGAGGAAAGTGGGGATGAGGGAGATAGCAGTGAGATCTTGCGACATCAGCGAGCTTTCCTAGATCACGTCAGAGCTGATCAGCGTCGAGAGAGTTATCCTCGACTTGATCAGCAACGAGGAGATCGTTATAGACATCATCGTCAACGGGAGGATTATCCTAGACCCGATTATCGACAGGTTGCTTATCCTGGACCCGATCATCGGTGGGATGATTACTATAGAGTAGAACGACAACGGGAGGATTATCATAGACCTGGGTTAGGAACTCTCAAGCCGAGAGACATCCCAAGAACTTAGTATTTAAGGGCAAGGAAAGCTGATCTTTCTTTAAAAAACGTTTTTTAGCCTTTACAGAAGAATACGAGCTAACACCGAAAGCTAAAACTGAAACTCTTTGTTGGTGTGTGGTGGGGTCTGCGGCCGATTTCTATGTCAATCTCCTAGAAATGGACCGTAAGATCACCTTCAAGAAGATCTTGAAGGCCTTTGATAAACGTTTCGGGGAGGAAGATTTGCCTGCCGTCCTGCAAGCTCGATTGGAAGCTGCCACTGAACGTGAAGACGAATCCATTGATGAGTGGGGTGATCGAGTTATGACTATGACCCGAAAAGCATATAAAGATCTGCCAAGGGCCTGGATCCGTCAGCAAGCTGCGACAAGGTTCTGTCTTGGTTGCCGGGATGCAGAGGCCGGGAGATATGTCCTCCTTAAGCA